ACCATGCGTAATTTAAAAAAGGCTTTTAACTTACTTAAGGCCCTTTATAAGCCTTGCAGCCATGTAGTAGCTTATAATATTTAAAATAAGCTTTTTATAATAAAGCTTATAAATATATAAAATAAAACTATTTAGTTAAATAAATAAAAAAATACTATTATTAAATTAAGGTATTAAGAACTTAAGTTACCCCTTTAAATAAAGGTTTATTTTTTTTACTATAATTTAAGATATAAAGTTTTATAAAGCTTAGATTACTTAGTTAAAAATATTATATAATCTAATAATTTATAAAATAAAAAAAATATATATTTTTTTTATAGTACGCGCAGCGCTGCTAAATAAAAAAAAAGTTACTTAAAGTAATTTTTAATATGCTTTTTGCAAATATAATAAATAAAAAAAATAAAAATAAAAATAAAAAGAAGTTAATTATTAACAAGATTTTTAAAAATAATTTGCCTATAAAAAATATTAATTTTATTTAATGTTATTATCACGGCGCTCTTGGTAATTACTTCCCTTTTAAGTATTAATTAGCAAAGTAAACTGGTTCTTGCGGCCTATAAGGTATATCTTATACTTTTAGCCCTTATAAATAAAGCCATAAAGGCTATTCTAACCGCGGTTTTCCTGGTATATTTAAAGGCCATGGCTAAAAAGGGTATAATAAATATAATAAATATAACTTATATAAATATAATAACTCCTGGAATCCCTCCGGAGCTTATTATACTAGTTAATAACTATATAATAGTTAAGCTAACAAGGTTTAAAGTAACATGTATAATTAGCGCCTTTATTAATAATAATAATAATAATAGTAAGGCGCTTTTTAGCAACGCTAGCTACTATTAGTAAATAATAATTTATTATTTTTTTTTAATTATATTAATATAAAATATCATGTAGCGGCCTATAATAACACGGTAAAAAAAGATTTTTATTTTTAAATACTTAACTTAGGTTTATTATATTATATAACTTTTTTTTACTATAATTTTATATTTTTTATAACCTATGTTATTAAGGTAAAAACCACTACAGGCACGCCTTTTCTTACTAAAAGATATAGTAATATTATAATTAATCTTATACTTTTAAACTTAATAATATATATTAAAACTTTTATTTTAAAAAATATTTAGCTAGCGCCTGTGCTAGCTTATAATCTTATTTTAATATACTAGCTTGCTAAGGCGGGCGTGTAAATACTTTTAAATAAAAATAATAAATTTTTTTTATAAAATAGTAAGGCTAAAGAGTATGCTATGGTTTTAAATAATTATTATTATTTTTATATAATTAATTAATTTTTTATAAAGCTTATAAATATGCTAGAGGTTAATAGCTTACTTATTACTATAATAAAGCTATTTTTTAATACTAATTTTAAAGTAAATTTAAAGCTAATTCTTATTAAATTAATATATTATTACTTGGCCCACGCGAGCAAGTAAAAGATATATTAAATTATTTAAAATATTAAAGATTTAAAGCTTAAAAAGGGCGGCCTTAAGTATTTTTACAAGCCGTGCTTAATAAATAAAGGTTATTATTTTTTATTAAAAAATTACTACAAGATTTATATAAAACCCGGAGATTTTATTTATTTTAATATTTATAAACTAATTTTTATACGCGGATATAATAAAAAATATTACTTTATAATATTTATAAATAATATAACCTATTTTTACTAGATGTTTTTACTTTATAATAAGAATAAATTACTAAAGAAGTATATTCTTTTAAAAAAATATTTTAAAACCTAATATAATATTAATATAAAATATATTTATAATAATAATATTAAAAAGCATGTCGCGCTTGCTAAATATTTTTAAAATAAAGGTAAAATATAGGACCTAGTGCCTATGTATATTTCTTAGCTTAATAGTATTTTTAAAATTAAAAATTATTACCTTATAAAGCTGCTTATAGTAGTTATAATAGTATATTAAACTTTTAAATATTTTTAGGGGTACCTTATTCTTATAATTATGTTTTTTTAAAATTATATTTTTAATAATTATATAAAAATATTACCTTATAAAGCTTTTATTAATAAATAACTTAATACCTTAAAGTAGCGTGCTTTAGGTTATAAATACTAGTATTTTATTTTTAAAAAAAAGTATTAAATAAAACTAGATTTTTACATGGCTAAAGGCCGCTTTATTAGTTATTTAGACTTTTTTTATAAAGTTTATAATATTAAAATAAAAAAAATTAAATATATACATAATATTATTTTTAAAAAAATTAATAATACTAAGTTACCTTAAGTAACTACCTTATATAATTTTAATACCTTAATATATTAGTATAAATAAATTAATAGTATTAAAAAGGCTAAATATACACCTATAAAATTTTTATAACTATATAATTATATTAATAAACTATAGCCTTAATTAGCTTTATTTATACCTTAAATTTTTATATAAATACTTGTTAAAGTATTTATAAAGGCTCCGCCTGTAATTTAAGAAAATACTTATAACTTTAAAAAAAAATCCCTGCTTAAATAAAAAAGTATAAAGTAATAGGTATCTTGCCTTTAATTATTACTAAAAATAATCTTAATAATACTTACTATTTTTTAAATTTTTAATATTTACCTTTTCCTACGGTGGAGGACGTCCCTAATAAGGAAGATATATATAATTTAACTTTTATTAAATATAAACATTATATTATAGCCAAGATTTATGGTTTTAAGCTTTTTAAATACTTTATATATATTATAAAGCTATTTTAGTATTTTAAAAAAGCGCTAGATATAAATAATATTTAGTTTTTTAGTATTAATTTTAAAATAAAAAATAAATTTCTTGCTTTTCTTACTATGGCACCCCTAGTAATTACTAATAAAATTATATAGTAAATTTAGTATTAAATTAACACTTTAATTATTATAGCTATATTTAAATTATTTAATACTATGTTATTTAAAAATCCTAATTCCTTTAAGTTTAAACCTTAAATATATAAAAAGGCGCTTAATTATAAAAATACAAAACTCTAGTATAAAGCATGTTATAAAAAAATATGCTTGCTACTTTAAAATAGCACCTAGCATATTATTAATTAAAAAAAATATAAAGCTATTATTAACTTACTAGGTTTTTAAGCTTAAGCGTGATGGTACTTGTAAAGCATGTTTAATTATAAAAGGCTTTAAGTAATACTATAGTAAGAATTTTTATAAAGTGTACGCTATAGTAATAAAACCTATATTTTTTAAGGTATTTATCGCGCTTATAGTACTTTTTAGTTAGTAATTATATTTTTAGGATATTATTACTATATTTTTTTATATAAAACTTAAAAAGGTAATTTATATTAACCTTTTTAATAGCCACAAGCAAGCTAGCAAATATAGCCTTTTATTAAAAATAATATATAACCTTAAGTAATTACTTAAAAAATAGTATATTTTTTTTTAAAATTCTTATTTTTTTAGGATTTAAACGCCTGCATGTAGATTATTTAATATTTATTAAAAATAGCCTATATATTTTTATATATATTAATAATATTTTTATACTTTTTTAAAATAACACTTAATATAAAGCTTTTAAGCAGGAGTTTTTAAAACTTTTTAAAGTAATAAATAATAGCTAAGTTAAAGATTACTTAAGTATTAATATTTTATTTAGTATAAATAAAAATAAAATATTTTTATTATAATACTTTTATATTTTTAAAATTTTTAAGTGCTTTAGCTTAAAGAACTACAAGCCTTTTTTTATACTATTTTATAAAAAAAAGGTTTTTAAAAATTATAACAGCCAGGCCTTTATAAATAATATAGTATTTTATTAAGCTATAATAGGATACCTAATTTAGCTTATGGTTTATACGCACCCTAATATTACCTATATAGTTTCTAAAGTTATAAAGTACGTGTATAATTTAAATTAAAAATACCTAATTACTATTAAGCGCGTATATTACTATTTATATATTATTTTTTTTTATATTATTTATTTAATAAAGGTGGCCTATAAGGCTATATTAATATTAACTAGGCCGGCCCTTATTTAATAAAAAAAACCTTAATATTTAAATATATTTTTAAACTTATTAATAGTTTAATTTCTTGGGTGTTAAAGCATTAGCTTAGTATAATATTTTTTTTATTAAATTAAAGTATATCGCGCAGGCGCTTGCAACTTAAAAACTTATTTAAATTTAATTACTTTTTTTTTAAGTTAAATATTAAACGCCTAGACCCTACGCGTGTGTATTTTTTTAAGCTTATAATTATTTATACTAATAACTAGGAAGTAATTATTATATTTAAAAATTTTAAATACCACACCCGCTTTAAGTATATTAATATTTATTATTATTTTTTTACTAAAAAGTATTAAATAAAAATATTAAATTTTTATATATGCTAATAATAAAGCAAGCTATTAATAAACTTATAAAGTTACTTAAAAAAGTAGCTTATTAATATTTTATTTAAATAATTAGTATAAGATACTTTATTATATTATAAAATAATTTTATATTACTACTTTAAAAAACTAAAATAACCTTATTTATTTATTACCCCGGGCAAGGGGGGTATTAAAAATTACTGCTTGTGGTTATATAACCCGGGTGCTTAGCGCTCCTAAATATCTTTATGTTTTATAGCCACCACCTAGCTTAGATAGTCAGTTAGTTAATTTATTTACTTCATGGCTTATCATTCCTTTCCTTATAAGTGTCTTTATTTCAGCACAAGCGACAGCGAGAGCGTATAAATGGCATTCTTACTTCTTTGTCTCAGCCCTTTGTTTTATGAACAAGTTGATACTTCACCAACGGTGCAATCAAGGGGCATTGTTACTTCTTTATTTCAGCCCCTTTCAATGTCATTATCACGTCCAAACTTCACCGACAGTTCTTTGCTTGCCCAAATATATAATATGCCTGATTCTCGGCCAAAGCCTGATTTCTCCATCTAACCATTTGCCCACCCTGCTACCAAAACAGCAAAGATGGCTCCAACCAAGAAGTCCGCTTCCAACTCCAAGGCTTCCACCCCCGGAGCAACCAACCCCTCTTCCTCCAAAACAAACACCCAATCTCCCTCCACAGTGAACCGCCCACCCCCGGCCCCAGCAAACAACCAAGCCCCGTCTAAACGCGATGGCAGCAACCCTACCAAGGGTGCATCTGGCATCACGACCAACCACCCGGGCTCGACTCCATCCAACTCCAACTCAGCTCCTTCCGCAGCGGACCCATCTTCCGACGGAGAGGACTTCGACCGCCCAGAGTCCGACGGAGAGGAGGTCGAGCGCCCACCCTCACCAATGACCGTCGAAGAGCGAATCATGTTTCGAGGGATGCGGGAGAAGATGCGAGTCGCCCTCGCCGCAAATGAGCCAAGCCATTTCACCGACGCGGAAATGGCCGTCATGGACAAGGTGTCGGATATTATGGCCCGTGGCGGGCGCGCTTGGGAATGGTGGTAAGACTGGTGGTCTCGAGGTCTCTCATACACCCGTTTCAATAGAACGTGGATGTGAAGGGGTGTTTTGCAGGCGGGATTGCTTTGGGTGGTGCTGGGGATAATCCAACCATACCTAGTCCAGTCCGAGGGCTAACCGACCTCACGTCTGTCGTTACTCTTATTTTTTAGTATTTCTTCTTTTAGTTAATCAGATTCCCTCTGTCTACTGCGAGCCTTTAAGATCTTTAAAATGCGAATACGTGCAATAGTCCAAACCTGTCCTAGATACCGTACACTATACCTATACTTGTCCTTAGCACTTACACTGGCCACCATTGCGTTAACCGTGGTAGAGTCCACCGGCAGTGCTTCCTGCTGTAAAGGATTAGGTAGTACAAGGTAAGCCGCTATCTTGACTGCACCATATAAGCTTAAGGGTCTGATCCTAATGAGGCCGGATTGGCCGCGGTGTATATCGGTAGCTTATGGAGGCTGTCATGGCTCGCACGCAGCGCTTGGAAGAAGCCCCATACTAGTTGTATTAAAGCATGGAAATGAAAGTGGGCGGGCGCCATTCTGGGCAAGGAGAAACACCCTTCTGGATTTTCAACGGATGAGCATGTTGCGTTTTCCGCAGGCACTGAAATCACAGCCTACCAACCTTTATTTTCAAGACAACGAAGAGTAAGACTAAACAAAGGACATTGTCACTTTTGATCCTACGCTATTTGTCGTTAACAAGTTAATACTTCATCAATGGGAATAAAGGTCATTGTCAATTCGTTATCTTCTCATCTTTCTTATCAAAAACTTGAAAGCCCATACATCACAACGCCAAACAAACAGCATTGTTACTCCTTTCTCTTCGCCCCTTTGTTATATCAAGTTCATACTCCACCAAGGCTTTCAGCATAGTGGCCCTAAACCCATTCGCAGAGTACTATACCTTTTCAGATCTCCTTCTGGCCAAATATATAAGGGTCCATCACTCCACCCCAACTCACTTCTCCATCCCACCAGCCTCTCTCCAATCATCAGTTCATCTGATCCAAATCCACAACCATGGCTCGAACTAACATGTCTACCTCCACCACCAAGACTTCCACCCCCGGCGGAGCAAGCAACCGCTCCTCTTCCTCAACAACCAACCAATCCTCCAGCCCTAATCCCAACATCTCCACCACATCTGGCACCGGTACGAACGCCCCGGCCTCGAATACATCTACCTCCACATCCGCAGCCAACCCACATGCTGATTTCCGCATGGTGCTGCTGGAGAGGACGCTATTCATGACGGCCGAAGAGGGAATCGTCTTCCAGCGCGCACAGCAAAAGCTGTGTGCCGCCGCCGCCGCAAATGAGCCGTGTCATCTCACTGCCCAGGAAAAGGCCATTACGTTAAGGGTGTTTGGTATCCATGCTGACGTTCATGGTATGTCTCGTAAAAACGGAGCGCGGATGTGAATGTTGTGTTTTGTTGGAGCAATTCGCTTAGATGCTGGGGATGATGCTAGTCAGGGCTGAGTGCTGGCCTATGTCTGTCATTACTGTTGTTTAGTTTTTCTTTTTCAAATTTATCAGGTTTCTTCCTCTCACCACGGGCCATTAACAGCAATAGATTGTAGATACATGTAATAAACAAAGCCCTCGCGCTCTTGAACGCCACGTTTCTAAATACACTGTATAAACTTCAGGATTGGGCCTCTTTGGCGCCGGATTGGCCGCAGTATTTATTAGTAGTTTATATATGTTGTCATCATTCGCGAGCAGCGCTTGGATTCAACCCCCTCCTGATAATATCAAAGCAATGCAATCAAAACTGACTGGACACCCTTCTGCGGTTTCGACCGGTGAGCATGTTGCATTTTCCGCGACAGAGAAGAAAGCCGGACTCAAATACCAGATCAAATGCTAACCAGCCATGAACTAACGGAATGGAACACGAGTCACATTATTACTCCAAGGTCAGTCGCGCCCCTAAGGGCTAGATTGAAAACCTTGGACAGGTTCATTATGAACCTTTACCCTTCTTAGTGCTAACTTAATCCACCGTCCACACAAGTGCCGGCTCAACAACCACCTCATCATCATCACCGACTCGCTTTGAGATCCCGGGCCAAAGGCAAAGCCGCACCTTCGCTCCGGCCTCTCCATCCCCGCCAACGCGCGTCATCGAATCGGCCGAGAATTCCGCCCCTGTCCAACTCAGAAAGACGGAAAACGCCTCCGGCTCCTGCGTGAGAGCGTTCTTGAACGTGGCGCATTTTTCGAGGAATTTCAGCAACTGTCGTCTCCTGGCCTCCGGCTCAGTAGAGGAAGCGGAGCCGAATTGCTTCTCCACGTAGTCGATGAAAGCAGCAAAATGACTCTCTTGGCTTTCCCGCGCCATGTCACTGACGGCTACGCTCGTTGCTATTTTCCATGTCTGCCAGCTCGACTCGGAACCTGTAGCCCGTCAGTATCTTATGCTTGGCCCGCCGAGGACACGACGCACTTGTCCGCTTGACACCGGCCCCGATCTCTCTGAGAAAGTGGCCCCCTTTGTCGTCTTGCAGTCCAAACAGGTAGGGCGTGAAGATGTGGTGGAACACCAAGGACGCGATGTGTGCTTGCAGCCAGGCGCGGCGCTGGGGCGAGGTACTGGGGGCTCCATCGCCCTGAATCGCCATCTCAAGCTTCTCAGTGTTTCGGAAGTTGTGATTGATCCAGGCCTCGAGGTTCTGCACTAGCCGGCGAAAATGGTCCTTGACTTGCTCATCGGTGAGTGGTTTTCGTCCGGCTTGGACGGAGTTGAGCTTCGCGTACAGCTGATTCAGTTGCCTGCGGTGCTCGTCTTCTTGCATCGATGCCTCAGCGCGAGCCTGACGTAGAAGCTCCTCTTGCTGTTGGATCTTCTCTTCGTCTGCCACGTGCTGTTTCTGTGCATTTTCGGACTGTCGCTTTAGGGCGCGGTATTGCTGTATGGGTGTTAGCCATCCCGTAGAAAGTGGTGGGTTGAGTATCACCGACATATGACAGCTCCCTCAATGATTCATCCTGGGCGTCTAGCCTCTTTTGCTTTGATCTCCCTGTAGCTAAAAGCTCTTTTATTTCTTCCTTCTGTGCCTCTAGCTCCCCCTGCTTAGCGTCGCCTATAGCAGATAGCTCCTTTAGTCTTTCTTCCTGCACGTCTAGCCTCCTCTGCAAATTGCGATTGTCTGTTTGATGCCCTGTCAGTAGACATCGAATAAATAGACCGTGACTCACCATCGCGATAGTCTCTTTGACGGGTAGTCGGCATTTCAGGTGCAGCTAGCAGTCCGGCTGATGCACCCCACGGCCATTGGAGCGTCCCGATCCACGGGCAGTACATTGTCGCTCGCTGCAGACTTTGTGGAACTGTAGCTGCTGGGAAATAAGAGCATATGTACTGTTGGCTTCGCAATCAATGAGGTCACCAAAACTAGGACGCAAGACCCGGCTGAACCTACCGCAACATCTAGAACCTTAGCCACGCATCGCGGCGGAGAAGAAAGCCGGCATGCTATATGTCAAGGCCAAGTCCCGACGGCGAAAACTTTCCGACAAAAAGCACTTCGTGATAATTCATCTCGCACTCGACACTCCTTGACACCCGAGTCACCATGCAGGGCCCTTCGATTGTGGTCGGCATTGATTTTGGCACCACGTTCAGTGGGTAGGTTACCATCCGAGACTGCTAGCCAACTCTTCTCAATCAAAGAGAGATCTAACCCGCGACATGTCTGCAGTATTGCCTGGACAATCGGCAATTCAATCGAGGACATCGAGGTACACCCGCACTGGCCGGGCGGTGGTAACAGTGCGTACCCTAGCCATCTTGGTCCCTCGACCCCTGATACCAAAAAGCTAATAGCAAGCCAGGAACATCCGTAAAAGTCCCATCGACAATCTCATTCAGCGGCGTCAAGATCCAATGGGGCTACCAGGTCGGGCAGTTCACCGAAGCCCTGCGCGGAATCAAACTCCTTCTAGACGAGGACCAGAAGATCGAGTACACGCCGTCGCTGCAGTCAAAGGCACTGCTCGCAAAATACGGCAAGACTGCCGAGGAAGCTACGGCGCTGTACCTGAAGCAGCTCATCCAGCAGGCGAAGCAAGTTCTCGAGCGGCGGCTGGGGCTTGACATTGACGAGCTGGACACGCAGTTCATTTTGACGGTGCCGGCGGTATGGTCGGACAAGGCGAAGGACTCGACTATGCGGGCTGCTGTTGCCGCCGGTATTGATTTGAAGAATCTCTCGCTTGTTTCGGAGCCGGAGGCCGCTGCGCTTTATGCCCTGCGAGCTATTCAGCCGAACTCCATCGCGGTATGTGTCTTGGGCCCGTTGTACGACGCTTGGCTGATGGCGGGTAACAGAAAGACGATGTGTTTACCGTCTGTGATGCCGGTGGAGGCACTGTGGTAAGCAAGCAAGACCCTGGCCCAGTCGACGCTCCCCGTTTTAACCAACGCCAGGACCTCATCTCCTACCAGATCAAGAGCCTCGAGCCGCTCGTTCTCGCGGAGGTTACTGAAGGAACAGGTAATTCCCATTCACTCCACCCCCGGCTTCAGTGCTCACCTCATCTAGGCGCAGTGTGTGGGTCCGTCCTCCTCGACGGCCGGTTCGACGAGCACCTCAAGCAGAAGATGGGGCTTGAGAAGTATGACGCGCTGAAGCACAAGTCCAAGGAGGCGGCAATGACCTACTGGCAAGAGCGCGTCAAACCCAACTTCACCGGCCATTTCGATGACGAGTTCGGCGAGATGGAGTACTTTATTCCCGTTGCGGGCGCTGAGGACGACGAGTCGATTCCGATCGAAGATGGCTTCTTCATGATGAGCAGGTAAGTTTACTATAGTTGCCAGCTTCAACTTGGACTCTAGACACTATGGATTTCTAGTGAGGACGTCGAATCTATTTTTGAGCCAATCATCCTGCAAATCGAGCAGTTGGTTGCCCAGCAAATCGCCGCTGTCGGCAAAGAGCCTTGCAAGGTGAGCAATTGACATAAAGGCAGAGTATGATTATGAGCATTAACCTGCATTGGCGAAGACGCTCCTCCTTGTGGGAGGATTTGGCGCATCCGAGTATCTCTACCACCGGTTACGTACGGCGAATCCGGGCCTCGCCATTCTTCAGCCCCCAAATGGGTAAGCGGACCAAATTCACGCCTAGGAGAAGTATCACTAACTGCAACTAGGTGGTCTGCAATCGTCAGGTATGAGGCCCTCACGTTGCATCGGTACCTTTGCCTAACAGTACGCAGCGGGGCGGTCCATCGTGGGCTCGAGGGCAACAAGGTCGAATCTCGAATTGCCCGCCGCAACTACGGCGTTGAATGCCACATCAAGTTCGTTCCGAGCATACATCGTCCCGACGATCCCACAAAGCGTTGGGACCCTCTAGAGCAGACCTACAGAGTCAGCGGGATGGATTGGTACATAGAAAAGGTGCGTCGGATTCCCGATATGCCTGAGCCACCTACACCTACATCGCAGGAAGCTCACTGCATCTCCTATCAGTCCTCCAAAGTCTCGGAGAACAAACCCATCAGAATGGGCTTTTATAGCTCGATTTCGGTGCAGCGGCATAAGAGGAACGTATTCCGTATTCCGCTTTATTTCTCTCATGACGACGTGGCACCAAGACAAATGACTCCCGGTAAGTCTTCCCCCAGTGTATCGGATTCGACGGTTGCTCACAGGAAGTATATCTTCAGAAACGATGAAATTGTGCGAGCTCGAGGCCGACCTACGGGTTATCCCGGAGGAACTGTTTGACAGAAAGAAGAATTCCGACGGGATAGAGTACTTCAGGATACCGTTTGTTTTGAAAATGACGCCGACTTCGGCGTCCTTGATCTTTGAACTCGAGTTCAATGGCGTCTCGTATGGAAGTGTGCGCTCGAAGTACTAGGAGGATCTGACCGAAGGTGTGGTGGTGTCTTTTTTTTTTTAATTTTTTTGAGGATACCGCGTATTCCATTAACTCGATAGTTTCAGATTGATACCCCTATTGTTATGCCAAAAGTGTTTCTTCTACTTATCACCCTGCCAAGCTAGAGAGTTTTATCAGAAATGCTCGTACTGCGTAGGCCAGCCATAAGAAGGAAGTGGATGGTATCACCTGCACCAGTTTGTCTATCGAACAATCGCAGCTCGCAGTCAACACTCTTTCCATCCCGCCGTTGGCTGGTTCGGGAATATGGTGGAGTCAGCGTAGTCTTATTGTAACCACGTGATTTGCAATAGCATTATAATAATATAATAAGTAACTATAATATTATAGTATTTTTTAAAATTTATATGCATAATTAATATAAAAAAATATTAATAAAATATAATTACTTACTAAAAATATATTACATGTTGTTTTAGTTTAAAAATTTATTTTAAATTATATTTTTAGTAATATATTAGCTAAGTGCAAGCTATATTTTTATGTTTTTTATTTATTTTTAGTAAAAATATATAAATATATAGCTAGATATACTTTTTAAGGGGGCAGTAATAAATTATAATAAATATATAATAGAATTTTTAATATATACTTTTTTAGTTATAAATTTAGCTTATAAATATAGATTTTTTTATTACTTTATATTATTAAAAAACTAGTTTACCAGCTGCATCCCGTCCAAGGTTTTATGTAAAAAAATAACTTAAAAAATATTAGTTTTAATAAATACTAAAAAAAGAATAAAAATTAAGCTATAAATTAAAAAGATAATATCCACCCTTAAAATACTTATAAAATAACGGAAGTTATTATAAAAAAAAGTTAAACTTAATTATTAATATTTATATAACTAGAGGCACCATTACCTGTAACCCTTTTTTTAATTTTAACTATTTTTTTATTATTTTTATTTTTTAACTTATTATTTTTATTATTTTTAAAATATTTTACTTCCGCCCTGGCGTCGCGAGCGTGTAAATAATATTAATTATTAAATATATAAAATTATTTAACTTACTAGCCTATTATACCTAATAATAATAAACCCACGGGTATAAATACCTGTGAAAATAAGTTTTATTATCCCGGGAAGGTGTATTTTAAGGTAGTTTAAACTATATATATATATTACTATATATAACTTTTAATTTATAAATAAACTAGGTAAAGTGCTAGTGCACTTAAAATAATATTAAATAATATTTATAAAAGTTTATTACTTAAAGTATTTTTTATATACCTTTATTTATATAAAGGTTTTTAATATAAGTTAGACTAAAATAATGTATAATTTAATTATATATATAGTGGTTAAAATATTAAATTATATATAATAATATAAAGCGTTTTATAGCCATTACTTTTATTAATATAAAATATATAAAATAAATAGTTTCCAGGAGTTAAATAAGATTATTTAGTATAATAAATTTATTTAAAAAAGTATAATATATTATTTTTAGGATTGGCCAGCTAAAAAAAATATTAATATTAATAATAAGTATAAGTAAAGGGTTTTACAAAGCTAAATAAATATAAAAAAAATATATTAACCTTATTATTTTATTTTTTAAAATTATACTTTATTACAAGAATTTAATTACTAGTATTTAAAAAAAAGTCCGGGTTATTTAAGGGGCTAGTAGCTTTATAGTTAATAGTAATTAAAAAAAACTTAAAAGTAGTACTAAATAATATAGTGTTAGACTAGGAAAAAAAGGTAGTGATTAATAAAAAAGTTTATACTTTAGGTAAAAATAGTGCTAGGTAGTATTACCTTTTTACTTAGGAAAGTTTTTTTAACTTTAAGTAATTTAGGTAATAGTATTTTTTTAAGCTTAACTAATAATAATGTCTTTTTAATAATACTAGGTGGCTATTTAAAAAAAAATATTAATATATTATAAAATAAAGGCATGGCTACTATTATTTAAAAAAATAGGAATTAATTATTACAAAGAAAAGTATTTTAATAAACATAGGTAGTTATTTTTAAAAAATAAAGCTAGAGGTAAATACAGGTGTGTTAGGATAAAAAAAAATAAGTAAATTATAAAGACTAAAGGTAAATAAAAAATATTATAGTATTTTAGTTTAAAATAGCTAAATTTTTATTACTAAACACAAGTTCCCTAGATTTATTATAGGTAAATTTTGTAATTATAAACTAGCTTTTTGTTATAAATAAACACACTATAAAGGTTAGAATTAATAAATAAATATAAATGTTACCTCCAGCCTAAAGGTATTTAATTTATATAGGTATATAGCTTAAAATAATAAGTATTTATTAACCTAACGCCAATCCTATCCTAATATTATATAATATTATTAAACGCTGATAACTAAAGCAAGCTTAAGGAAATTATTATATAAATATATTATAATATAAAGAAACACCACTAGCAGCAGTAGTAGCATAGTTTATAGTAGTAAAAGGGGAAATAAAAAATATATTTTAGTATTTCTTAGCTATTAGTTTTAATATTTTTTTTAAAAAGGTAGTTAAAAAATACTTTATTACTAGGGGCGGGATATCTTTCCGCTTTTATTTTTTACTAGGCTGTTTACTAAATAATAGCTTTTTAAAATAACCTTTATTTAGGTTAGTGTATTTCTTGTTTATTATTAAATAATTTTAAAAGTTTAGTAGCTCCTCCCATGCAGTTACTAAAGTTTAGTTACTAATATTATATAGATTATTATAAAGCTTTATTTCCGCGGCTAGATGTGCATAAATATTTAAATAATAATTAGTTTATGTGCAGGATGGCAGTAGTGCTAGGGACTTATACTTAATAAAAAACTAGCCGTACTTTAAAAACTTATTATAGTTAATAAGATCTTGTAACTAGTACTATATTTAAAAAAAAATAAAAATAAAAAAGGCTTTAAAAAAATAGTTAACTAGCTTTTGCTTTACTTAAGAAAAATTACTAATAAAATTAAGGTAAAAAATAACTAGTTACTCCGCACGTGTTTTTATTTTTATTAATTTAATATAATTTTAGCTAGGTTAATTAAATTATAATAATATTAAAAATAGCTTAGGGTACTTACAAGCATTTACTTTAGTATTTATAATTTTTAATTATAATATATATTATAACAGCGTGAAAACATATTTATAAAACTAAAACTTTTTTTATTAGTTAAAGTAAGCTTTTTATAAATAATAACATCTAGTTTAGCGTTATAATAAAACTAAATAAAATAAAGTTATTAAAGTTAATATATAAAAGTATTTTAGCGGGCTATAAACTTCTTTTTATATTAAAAGGCACGGGGGTGTTTAATTTTAGGTATTTATAATAAAAAGGGAATAATTATAGCTAGATTTATTTTTTTATTAATAGGGCTATTTATCTTTATTTATAAAATTTTAGGCTTATTTTTTATATTATTTAGGGTTTTAGTCTCCGCGGGTGTTTTATTCCTATTACTCTTTTTTATAAATAATATATTTAATATAGTGGAAGCAGCTTTATATTATTTATATAGTTAAAAGCGGCGTAAAAACTTAAATTTACTTTTAAATTATTAAAAGTAGCCTAAAAATTTAAATTTATGTTTATGGTACTGGCGTTTTAATAGTATTTAAAACATAGTATTTAAATATTTGTTTTATAAGGAATTTTATAATTATTAAAAAAAAAAAGTTAGCTGTTTTTAAGTTATTTTTAAAAATAGTAAAATATTAAAAACTAGGTACCTTTATTAGCTTTTTTTTAGTAGTAATAGTAATAATAATATTTATTTTTTTTTAGTAGCTATAGCAGCAGCAAGATTTACCTTTTTTTAATAATTATAGTAATAGTAAGATCTGCCCTACCTGGGGTTAATATTTATATTTACTTTAAGTAGTTATTTTAATTAGTTTTAATAGCTAGAGATTTTTTTTTTACTATTATAATAGGATAAGATTTTGCTGCTATATAAGATAAGAGTTTAAAAAAAACAAGATATAATTAAATTAATTTTATATTAAAAAAAAAATAACTAGCCGGGGAATAACAGGCCTAGGTAAATAAAATTAAAAAGGTTAGTATAAATATTAGCTAAGATAAATAATTATAAAAGTTTATAGCTAGTAAGTAATAAATATAGCAGGGCTAAACCCTTATTATTATATAATTTTAAACCTACCTTAATAAAAGCCTGGCAAAAAGTATAAAAATTATCTTTATTTTTTAAATTACTTGCCTTAAATATTTTTTTACCACCTTTTAAAAATTTTTAAAATTAAGAGGTTATTAAGGTTACTAGCCTAGGTAAATTATTTTTTTTACCTTTTTTTACCTTAATTTATTTTAGCCTGTCCCAGCCTGTCCTAGCTAGTTCTAAAATTAAAAAAATAGTTTTAAAACTTTTTTAATACCTTGCCTAGATTTATCCGCACCTGTTTTTACCTTTTTTAATTACTTTTTAATATTAGGTACGCGCATTTATTCCTAATAAATTAATATTATATTTAATAATAGGGATGTATTATAGGATATAAAAAAATATATTATTATATTTTACTAGGGTTAATAGCAACTTTTTTTTAATATTATAATATATTAACTTTTTTACTAGCCCAGGGAATATATATTTATAAAAATTTTTAAAAATATTTAGCAGGAAAAAGCGTGTTTTTTAGTACCTTTTAATTAAAATAACATGTTAAATATTTTTAAATATTACCTAGTATTTTCCAAGGCCTAGCTTAACCTAAAGGTTTAAATAGTAAATAACCAGGTAATTAATAATTAAATTAAGACTATTAAGCCTGGGGTATTAAACTAAAATATAATATATATATTTTATACTTAATAAATGCCTTTTATATAATATTAATTATTTTTAAAAAAAACTAAAATATAAGGTAATTAAAAACCGCGAGCCTGTCCTATTAAAGTAATTATATAAATAGTAATATAAAAAAAATTATAAAAAAGATTAAGGTTATTTTAAAT